TGGCCCCGCACGGCCCCTCATGGCCCCGCACAGCCCCTCATGGCCCCGCACGGCCCCTCATGGCCCCGCACAGCCCCTCATGGCCCCGCACAGCCCCTCACGGCCCCGCACAGCCCCTCATGGCCCCGCACAGCCCCTCAGCGCCCTCGTGGCTGCCCGCGCGGGCTGTTGCTCAGGTGTGCCCAGGTGGGGGCGGCTCGCGCGCCATCGCCCCCTGGCGGCGCAGGTGGGGCCGGGCACAGGTCGGGCACAGTCTGTGCCGGGCACAGGTGGGACCCCCAGGCGCTGTGCCCACCCCGCGCTGCTGCTGCCGGTGTGCTCCGCGGCGCTTGGCCGGCACCCGCACACCGATTCCCGACACCTGCGGTCTTGTACTGCGTGTTCGTCTTCCGTTGGTTTGTTTGAAAGCACGGACGTGGCTCGTGCAGCTCCTTTAAATGCCACTTCAGAGTAGGAAATGATGCAGTTTGCAGATTCAGCAGCTTCGTTTTGAAATGAACAAGGTAAAAAGCAGGCACAGGGTGTGCTCTGGAAAAAACAGGCGACACGAGATGGAAATCTGTGCGTGACTACTCTGGCAATTGTTTTGAGGAGCATTTCTCCACACTTTTTAGCACAATCTCTTTTCAAGCTCCTTCTGCTAACCCCCCATTTTAGTAGCATTCCTGTGAGGCTTTTAGAGAGGGCTCCATGACTGGGAGGCATTTCATTAATAATTTGTCTTCATAAATTACAGGGGGTACAAAGATTTTTTGAAATTTTAATTTTAACTAAATTACTAAATTTTAAAAAGCCTTACCATAATAATTTCTTGTTTTTTAATGATTCCTATTAACATTTTTATTGCTTTTACAGGTAAATTGGTTTTTTCTTGTTTCAAAGATATCCTGCTATCAGGAAATCTAACTCTGTTTGTTCTGGCTTGGGTATGTCATTATCAGTTATAAAGATTGTGCAGATGGAGATTATGTTGGTGCATGCACTGGAAGAGACGCCAGGTTCTAATATCAGATAGAGTGTCTGATTTTGGTTAACTGGTGTGGAGACTTCTGTGTAAGCCTTAGCATGGCAGTGTTGGAACTGTAGGATATTGGGGAGCAGCCCTGTTGCCTGAGTACGTTAGGCCTTTTCTGACCCTGCTGACCATTTTGCAATACTGTGGGTTTCTTTTTGCAAAGAAATGCTGAACTACTGACCCATGTCTGTTCTTACATTCTGAACAGACACCTTTTTTTGGCCCTGTGCCATGAAGTACATGGGGCTGTGTCATGCTTTGTGTTTGGATGCATTTCATTTTTAATTTGAGTTCTGTTTCTCTGCGAAACAGTCCTGTTTCATTGGCTCAGTAATAATTGTCAGCCAGTCGTTGCTGATTAGCTCATATGGGAGATTTATCGCTGAAGATTCTGACTTTTCAAAATTACGTTCTGTGAAACTCTGTCTTCATTGGGGAAAACAGCTACTATTGTTGCTCCTCTGCAATAAACTGCTGTGCTGCAGCTGTGCTGGTCTGTGGATGTTTGGGAGTGAGATTTCTGAGGCTGTGAAGACAAACTTAGTAGTGATTTTAAGAAAAAGGTTGGTCTTGTCTTTTTGGGCTCCTCCTTTGAGTTGTAGTGCTGATACTTTAGTGGTGTCCAAGCTCAGAATCTCAGTGCAGTGTTACATGTTTGTGATTTGTCTTTATAAAGGAAAGAGG